GAGGCGTTATAATGTGACGGTCAATCCCACTATTCGTTGGTAAAAGAGTAGCCCAGGAGTTGGCGGTGGGTGGTGATGACTAGCTGCCTTCCCTCTAGTCTTACACTGCTAAATTAGGGACGGCTAGCGCAGATAGCCCTCGTGTAGCTTTGCGCGAAATTCAAAAACAAACAAGCCTAACTAAGCTGATGACACAGAATGTAGCTTAAAGGAGCTAAAAAAACACTTTGTTGTGGTTTGTAGAGATAACGTACACTTTTATATAAACTCGTTCATCCCGAAATATACTTTGTGCCAACTCGAAATTGAGTTCTGTGGTTCTCCTCACGTTTTTGTGTTGTTAGGAATTGTGTGTATTTATGTGCAAAGCAACACAATAGACTATTTGTGCCGTGCCTACTGCGAGAATCGAACGTCGATATTTAGCATCATAAGCCTTCAAGCTTACCGCTGAGCGTTTAGGAATTATTTTCATGAAGTTAATAACAGCACCTTATTGTGACTCTCATCAGTAATTTTCCAATTAAATACCAATTTAAATACCACGAAATGTTTACTAATGTAAAAATCATATGGTTGATTAGAAATTTAAAAAATGGTACTGGACACATCGTATTTGCTGTTTGTGATCTACAACTATTAATCCGTCGAAATATTATTTTCGTACAATTTCGAGGCCTAAATATAATTAGTTAAGTTGAATTCTATCAAGCCATATAAGTACAAGCTTAACCTGTTTTGGTTTTGTTAAATATGCACAAAATTAAATCCAAAGAAAACCAAAAGTTAGTATAGTCTTGACCAAAATGTTTGCACAGTGTTCTATATTTATGTTATTGTCTACATGCATGGAGTAGTTATTGAGTAAATGCCTGAGTAGTAACAGAGAAGGTACTGTATGATGGGACAAACATGCGTGAATTGTTATTCTGGTCTGTATAAGTTGTTTTGAGCATTGTTCTTCAAAACACACATACACACCTGTGCTTTTAGTATGATATTTTTTGAAACACATCAACGCTTTGGTCAGACAGTTTCACCGTGTTTGGTGTAGAGTAATGCCTCGTCACGTGCCAGAAGTTATAGAGCGTCAATTTGTTCGACTGTCCAGAAATGGTATGAAGGAAACGGGCGTTGCTAGAACAGTGTACTGTATCCAAATTTCTGAAACGTTATCGCACTATAAGAAACGTTGTTCCAGGAAAGTCTACTGGTAAACGCCGATAAACTAATGCCCGAGACGATCAGATTAACACGTCAAGGTCGAAAGAAGCCTTGCAACACCTTACGACAGGAATGACATGAACATATTCATTCCAGGATATTCAGAAGAACAGTGAATACGGGACTGACCAAGCA